ACAATTATACTCGGCTGTCAAATGTACTATCTGCGGAAATGCAGTAGATATTCTATCCGCAGTATAATCTCTGGCTAGTTAATGAAGAAAAAAGAATCCTAGGTAAGAAGTGAATTTAACAACTTCCTTTCACTGAGACATGTGGCATATTTTTGCCAAAATTGGATAAACAGGAAAGATTATTCACGTAAGTAGAAGATGAACATGTGCCAAACATTTTCCAAATCTTTACTCACAGACTCCATCAGTTTTTAGCCTTGGGTTTGGAAACAAAACAAGGGAAATGTTGGGACAATTTTTCTCTTAAAACAAAATTATGACTGTTCAAGAGATAATTTCTTGTGTTCTTTTCATAAGTTCACAATCAAAAGTCACATCAGCTGGGACTAAACGACATTTCACTTTCAAACCACTGCCGGAAATAATGAATGTGCGAGTTGACCGATATGTGCCCACGTGGTCCACAACCAGACGAGTGGGTGAGCGGGTGATAGATAAGGGTAGTAGGCGTCCCTAGCTTCTTAAATTTCACAACGTTTGCAACACAGGCCCTGATAAAAAAATCAATCTAAAGGGGATGCTCGACTATCTATTAAGAAGTTTAGATTCCTAATAATGAATGAAAAGTAGCCACTTACTGATTCCTAGCTGCACTGAGTCCTCCGTGCAGTTCGGATAGTTCGGGATCTTGAGACCAACACGAACGTGACGCGAAGATTGTATATAGTTCGCAGTTTTCTTGGTATCGTGAAATCCGTACGTGGAGGCATGTCAATTTATATATTTTAGTAGACGTTTTGTTGTGTAGTATCGCTGAGTATTTTTACGAGTTGTGCCGTATTTTGACGAGCCCGTAGGGCGAGTCAAAATACAAATAACGAGTAAAAATACTCAGCGATACTATACAACAAAACGACTAATAAGTTATTTATTATCCAACACGCCAATGTGTTATTTCAGTGCGGGCGAATTTCGCGGATATTTATTTAGGGGGAGTGCGTGACAGAAGTATGCGAAGAGGAACGGAATTGGAGCGTTGTCGTGTTGCTGTTTCTATTTTCTTCAATAAATGAAGAAATTTCCAGGTAGTCTAGCTGTTTTAATACGTTGGATTCATCTAATAAACTTGGATGTGTATTTGCCAGCCATTCTGACTTTTCTTTGTCGGAAATATGATTCAAATTGTCAGCCATTTCTTTTTTCGTAACAACAAGTCAACTCTTCGCTTGCGCGATGCGAGAAAACCTGTTTAACCGGTACTCTAGAGTACAAATACCGCGTGATATTTGTACTCGTCTATGGCGTTATTTGTACTCTACGAAGTGTAGTTGGATAATAAAGATAGATATTTTATCTAACTAGTCCCTATATTTAACTTCGAACTTGAAATCTCGTAAATGTGCACCGCTTCCTATTCTCTTGAAATAAAAAGTCTCTGTTTCGGTTTTCCACTCGTTTGTGTTACTCCGGGTATCACCTATCTCTTACAAAAAGGTGAGTATTCCTCTAGAAGTTAATCAAACAAAAGAATGACGACAATGAATTTCTACCTAGTAATAGTACTCAACTCAGGTGAGCAAATGCGTACACAGACATCTCTAAACTAAAAAGCTAAGTGAGAACAGCAAGATTGCCGACAGAAGGAAAGAGGAAAACAGAGTCTGAAGGAGTGTTTGTTTAAGTGGGTGGAAAGCGATTTTGATATAATAAGATAACGTCTTCAACAGTCTGTCGTAACGATAATGAAACCATAAACACGAAAGGGAAAGGATTGGTGCGGCTTCGCCATGTGCCGACAGCTATCTTATCTGAATTGATTTCTACCTTCAGTTGAAGGTGCGTCTCACTGAAAGGATTGTATATTGTGAAACCGAGGTGTTTATTAATATCAATAGCTTTTTATCCTCATTTAAATTCGACTAATTTCTCTTTGTTTTGCTGTAGTTTATATATCTTCATCCTGATATTTCTTTGAAACCAACTATGGCCAAGTAAACTATTGATTCTTTAGTCTTGACCGGGTATTTCTTTTCTTCTTTGGTCTCTGCCAATTTTTTGACGTTCCGGGTTTAAATTGTGGATACACTGTCCTGAAAATTGTGATCCTGTTTGCATGCCCTGTGCTCTTAGGGAAAAACACCAGTAGGTGTAGGTGTTTTCCTCATGTCTCTTGATTAACGGTTAGAGGTCATAGAAATGGTAGCTCGATGATAGGTAATTAACAGTTTAGGTCACTGCTCAACAAGTCTTGCAACTAGTCACACAATCGAAAGTTACTTTACGTAAAGTTATCTCGAACTTTGGTTAGCTTTATTTAACTTAGGAAGTGACGAGATTACAGACTGAAACATTTCCTTACTTTGAAGATGAGTATTTGTACTTATTCAGAGGTTGTAAGATGTAAGAATAAAACTGCGACAACTAAAACGTTTGTAATCTTATCTTCTAGCTTCACAGGCACCTCCTTCATAGTGACCTCCGAACTCAGCCGATAAATATGATTATCGGATGGTCATCTAACATGGCCTGTCCCATTTCGGAAACGCATTAAAAGTGATACGCGAGTAACCTGATCAGAAAAACAAACATAAATTTGACTGATGTACTAATCAGTTGTCACTTACAGGCACAAACCTAACGCACATGGCCGCTATTCCTCCAACCAAACGACTTACAGCATTGAACAACTCTCTCGTATTTCAAATATCTTTACGATTTTTTGGTTTTAATTCAAAGAAGTATTTCCGTTAAGTTTTCCTTCAAGTTATGAAAAACTTCACTCGAAGGGCCTTGAATCACCGAGGACAAACATGAAAAAATTGCGAGCATCTTGTTCTCCTACTAACTGTGATTTGATTAGTTAGAAAGAAAGAACACTTTCCTTTTTTTTTCTAAAAAACGCTAGAGTCTCATGTGTCTTGCAGTCTGTTACAACTGCCTTTTGGTTGATGAACTATAACAATTAAAATTACAGGGAGCTCGAGATTTTTTCGCGTCTTTTAATTTCTAACAAATATGAATCCCTCTTTTCATTCATTCATAAAGAGACGCGTCCAAAATATCATGTTGCATTAATTAGTATTTTTCTATTCAGAAAAACCATGCTTTCAGCAACGTCTTAGAAACGAAACAGCGCATCCCATCCTTGGTTTAATCATCGTTCGAGCAGAGAATTTTATTTTTGATGCGCAAAAAAAAAAAGCTTTGCACCTCATGGCGGTTTCAGCTTAAAATTGAGGAAGTAATGTTTAAGCACCTTCTAGTGTCGTGAGAGTTAACATCCTGTAGAATATTTCCTGCCGGCCATTTGTAGTTGCGAAGTAAATTTTGGTCGTTCGATTCAAGGTGGCCCTCTTTGCTTTCCTTTCCGAGCGCTGCTTTTGTTGTTAACTGAAATTTTGTGGTTGAAAAGGGGTGTACGTCATTCAACGCTTGAGGGTTACTAATTTTTATAACGTTATTCTCAGTAATGTACAAGAGTTAAATTAATTAATGACCTTTAATTTTTATCCTGGCTCCAAATTAAACTTCTGTGATTTTTTTTTTACTTATTTTGGACACAATTCAGTGCTCAAAGCGAATGAAACCAAATATTATGATCTTAACGACAAGTCGAATACTTTGCCAAGTCTGAGCCGTTTACCTTAAATATTATATTTCCCGTCACTGTAGATGATCTAATTAGAATTCGGATGCGGCGTTTACTGGATTTGTTAATGGTAGTTTTAATATACCTTCTCAAGGATAAAGTACAATACCCAAAATACTGTTCTTTTTTTTTAATCACATAATTTTATTTCTAAGTGTTGTTTACAATTCAATTTCATCTTCCCTTATACGGCTGAAAGGAAGTTCACGGTCGGCTTTGGTAAAGTCAGCCTTTGATCCCAACCCAGCCCACCGATATCATGATAGAGATAAATTTTCAATCCATTTGTTTTTGTTGTTTTAATTTTAACGTGTCTTACTATAGAGCATTCGATTTGTTAATCAATCTTGGCTACAAATGGCGAAAAAACGAAACATTCATCCTCTAGTTTCAGCGTTTAAATCTTTGCAGTGAGCATTTGAAACTTTCTACCGTTTTTAAAGAAGAAAAACTGATATTTTCAAGACAGTCTTTTAGAGTAGGAAGGGTTAAAGAAAACCGACTTATGGCTTATCATAAGAGGGTGATCACTTTTGCTTGCAATCTGATATTTTTAAGGTTTTTCATAAGAGGAGAACGGAGAGCTGTGCCAAAATCCACACACACCCTGATTTCAAAATGAGCCCTTATTTGGTGCACGCTTGGCCTTTCCGGTCATACGTTGCCGCTCCTTTTCCGTCATCATTCAACATGGCGATTTGAGAGGGAGAATACAGACGGACAGGATGTAAAGATTTATCGCCTCTTGAATTTATCAAAAAGTCGTAGCTTATTCTCAACAGACACAATGTGTTGTGTTTGGACTCTCTTGGACTTTCATTATCATACATTGGGATAACGAAAGTAGGAATGTGTTTGTTTCTTTTCTTAGGAAGTTTTGTTTGGACAATACACAGAATTTTATCCCCAGTCTGCTTTTCTTTAGATGACAAACTGAATTTCCGAAGGCGCAGCCTAATAATCCATCGCAGAAAAATCATTGACACTTGAAAACGTATCACTGTCACGCAAACAACTGCTTTGTTTATGATTTTCCCGTTGTCGTTTCCGGACATAATGCAATTCGCTCGAATACGGAACATTTCTAATCAGATCTACATGAGAAATACGAGCTTAGAGAAGTCTTTTTACGTGGAGACTATTCGGAAGTCATAGCGTGATGGAGGGCTTTGCTTAAAAAGGATGTTAGCACGGCCGGTAGGTATACAGCACATTTTTTTCTTAATGTTACATGAGTGACACGTGGCGACTCATTCAAATTTTTCGCTTCCTGCTTCACTGATCACATATCAAAATAAGCTGTCAATCAAATTGTCAGTCAAGTATATAAATTAGGTAGAGATCTTCGCTCCAACTCCATCACTGATTCGACGACTCAAGGCTGTCGCAAGCTTCAGAGAAAACTACTGTCGACTCACAGATTTTCTTTCTTCCATAGTCGCTGAAATTCTTCAATTTAGGCCTGTCACATACTTAAACAGTGTGAATAGCATAATTCTGAAGGCTGTTAGCCGAGCATCTGATTCGGACGTTCTAGCATAGTTTGCTGAAAAAATATATATATATACTACAAAAATGGAGATAGAAGATGGATGCTTTGGTGGTTTTCTCAGCTTTGCAGAGCTGGAAAGATATTTCATCCATGGTAAGTGTAAATGAATAGCAGCAGTAAGTTGATAATTTACAATTACTACTTTTTTCAACAACAGAGAAAATTAAATATATTTAATTTGGCGTTGGACTGAGCAAAACCTGGTTGCCAGCATTTTTTACCATGTCTTAAGTGAAAATAGATAAGCCGAGAATTACTGCAGTTTTGCTGTTATTTTTTTTGGAGTCATGGTTTGTGTATCGTTGTGATCAGCTTTTTTTTTTTTTAATAAAAAAAGATACAAAATAGGGAAAAAATTTTCCTACCAACTTGAAAATTGGCCACTTTTTTTTGTCAGTAGGTCAATGATATTAGGGTTTATGTTTTTTTTTTTTTCTTAATTTGGTGCTCTATGAAAACGTTTCCTTTAAAGGAAATGTTTCTGTGGCACGATAAATCTTTGGGTGGCTTGAAGAAAGTTTAGTAAAATCATACAGTGCTTTTTAGCTTGCCTATCCATGATAGATTTTAAGACTCCTTTACAGCCAGTTCGTCATCGATGGTTCAAAATTATCGATCGTTCAAGCGTTTACCACCAAACGTTTTTGACGAAGACGTGATTCTCATATAACATTACACAGTGAACGAACAACTGGTATTGAGTTTCGCTGTTTTCCGCTTGTTTGCATCGCAGCTATTAAGGATATCCCACGAAATCTGAAAGAGAACTTTGCTCAGCACGCTACAAAGGTTTTTTTTTTTTCATGTACGGCTTTAGCTAAAATCTTCTGAACCATTTGTCAAGAAGTTTGGCTTTCAGATAGACCACACAATAATGATGGCAAACGTAAATGAAACTTTGACCAACACTGTCAAACTGAATTCTTAAGAACGCTGTCAGACAATAAAGACTTCGTTTGTGGAACCGATTTTTCTCGTTTTTCTTTTTTCAGAGATTGGACCTCATTTTTCATAATTGTTTAGCAACTAAGTGCCCAAAGGATCTTAGCATTTTCTTGTTAAACCGTTAACAAAAATTTGTCCTGGTCTCTCCGGGTTTTTGTTTACTCAAGAGTTGATCTCTTCCGAGTTCTAGGTAGATTTGCGTGCGGTGTTTCCTGTTCCAATACGTCATATCCTATGGGTGTGCTTTTCCCTCAATTTTCTGAGAAAAGAGGCTATCAGTCCGTAATTTTTGTATTCACATCACGTTAAGTTTCCCTTGCTTAATAAGAGCTACTTGAGTTTGTCTAACAAGGGTTAAGAAGAGCATCTCTCCTGTGATGCGTACTGATAACAAATATGGTTACACGCACCGTTCTGTCTTGTCAATGGAAAATCAGAGAGGAAATTGATTCAAGAATTTAAGAATGGAGGGTTCAAAATAAAACGTCAAGTTTGGTAATGAAAGAGCAAAGGGCCACTTTTCGGTGAAGAAGAGAAAGTGAAGTTTAGAAAGGAAAAAGCAACCCACATGGTACCACTACTTGCCCACAAAAGGATGACAAGAGTGGACAAAAAAAAGCTACCTATGAAAAACCAGATTCCCTTAACTAAACTACCGCGTAATTTGGAGCAGTGAGAAGAGAGAATGACCTTGTTAATGATGTAGAAAAGAATAAGCGGAGAAAACATTATTTGGAAAGATGAAGTAAATAGTTGTTGAAAAGGAAAGAAGCTTTGAGGGTTTCAATAATCTTCAGTTTCAGTATAGATTGCGTTTATATTTTTTCAGATCAAAGGTCTCTTTAAAATCGGAATAAATTATCGTTCTTTGCGATAGTCAAATTTTATTTCTGCACAGATGCGTCATCGCTTTATTTTAAAAACTGTTGAAAACTGTGAAACGTATCTGCTGAAGGAAGAAAGGAAATCCTCTTTCGCTCTAATTGATTCCCCATGCGCATTAAATGATATACATAATACTGTTCTAATACTGAAACAAATGTATAACGAAACTCTTTTGCGACCCATTTGCTGAAGGAAGTTTTCCTTCCGTGCTTAACAGGAACTCTGACAAAAATAAACTAGATATCAGTCCCGCAAACTGAGCTACCACTTTGTTTAAGATACGAAACAGTTTTTTTGTGGGTCTCTGAGTGGGTTATCGCGAATTTGCTATAGGCTTAGTGAAAAAGGAAATTTTCATAAGAATTAAATTGTGTCTCAGAGTAGAAGCAATTGTCAATATTTAATGGATAACAACGTTAAACCCTCTTCATCGTCTTCCTCGTTTGCTGACCTATTGTTATTCCAAGTCAGCTTTGCCACTTCCTGACGACGACTTACAATACGCACTCAAACGCTTGCAGATGGAGTCTAAGATTGTATCACTCCTTCTTTATATATTTATCTCAACGACTCTATTGTGTGTGACAGATTTAAATTGTAGAAAAATTATCTTAAGATCGGCCTTCGCGCACTCTTTGGCTGCCGAGAGACGAGGATCGCCTCGAAATGATTCGTCACCTCAGTTGAGTTGAAATGAGGTAGGCTTTTTTTTTTTTTTTTTCTATTAAGCCCAGCTATCCCTGACGTATCTGGCTTGTAAACAGGCAGAGATAAATTTGGCCGTTATTTAAAACGATGGTGACTGATTTTACTCATTGAGATGTTTATTCGTCACGTTCCACGCTTGAATAATTTAACTCAGAATAATTCAGACCGGCGACGCGAAGGCATTCTGCTGAGTGGTTCTGCCCACAGCTGAAGATTTTTTTTGAAAATTTAGTCTGTGTCGATTCTTCTATTCAGTTGCACAACCGATCAGTGCGAGAGCAGCAGAAATGAAAGATAATGCTAGTTATGGAGGTAATTTTGAGTATTTTGGGGCGTAAAAGCTTGATCAAGTGTTACTTTCAGTTTGAAAACTAAAGCCGCTCACACGACGCTGAAATCGACGTTGCTTATATTAGCAGTATACAGGGTGCGTTTCCCATACGAACTTAATTATGGCCCAGTTTAACTTCGAGTCGTCTGTGGCTGAGTCGATTTGAATATCGGAACGCGGAATCCGAAGGTTTGAGGTTTAATTCTTAATGGAAATTTAGCCGCTTTTATTTGTCGCACGCTAGTGCTGAGACGAAAAAATAGTAATTCTCTCCCCATATTTTTCTTACCACCATCTAAAACATGGACGTTTTTATTTATGTTACTCTCTATTGGATTTTTTTATGCAAAACGACGACTAAGTCGAGGATACACTCTTCGACTGATAATTAATTAAGGTTTGAAGAAGAAAGAAGTTAACGAAGGAGCCGTTCACAATCAGTGAAATAATTTAAGATTATTTGTGCAGAGCGTAAGATTGGATAAGTGTTCGCAGTAGAAAAGGCATTTTAGATTGTGGATAATTTCTAATCTAGACGGCTGAAGCTCGGTAAAATATAAACATCCTGTCGTTGATGATATTTAATCACAATTTAAGTGGCCTATATCTGATTTAGGCCAATACAACGGAGGGTTCAAGCAGTCATTAGGAAATTACCATTGTTCCATATCATTTTCCATGAATTATCTCGTCCCTTGTTTCCCATTTTTCTACATTATGCACAGTTTGCATCATTTTATGAATTACTTGCCTGTTGTAACCGCCTACTTTCCGAGAAACACGTCTGATTGAACTAACCAAAATCTCTTTCATTTTAGTCCGATTGCTTTTCAGCAAATAGCTGCAATACACTGCTCAAGTATTTTACACAGAATAGCTTGTTCATAGAATTATTTAATAACAATGTGTCCTATGGCCATTTCATTTTGCCTTGGTTCGGATACTTCTTCCTGTAGCGTTGATGTCACTTTGTATTCATTGTACTCCCCGGAAACTGTGACATAACAATCGTGACAAAGCTTCCGGTCGAATCGACTTCCTCTCTTCTTTGAGCACCGAGTTTCAGCCTTTTTTTCAATTCTAACTGGCGCTCTTTGCATGGAAATTAAAAAAATTTTATTGTATCACTTATGAAAAGCCTTCAGTGCTTTTTATAATGAATTTAGAAGATTTTTTAGCCCAATAATGAAGATCAGTCCAGAACTGACAGGAAGTGACCCAGTAGTTTTTCCCGTTAATCTAACAATGGTCACAAATGACTTTTTTTTAGACTTCCTGTCATTCGCGTTACTAACGTTAATATTCTATGCTGGTGGCATTCGTCGAAAGGTGCCTCACTGGGTAGACAAAGGAGCATTGATGTATCTTTTCCTTGTAAACTTACAGGAGTTGTCTGTTGGTTGAGTAGACAGCTCTTGCTCGTGACAGGGAAACTTTTTAAGGGAACCGTATGACATTTCTCAGTATTAAGAAAAACGCCAGTAGGTCTGGATGGCACGGTACGCTCGCTGTCTAGGTCACCACACTTTATTGCTTTGTCTATAGTTGAGTATATCTATTTAATGTGCATTTAATTTACATTCTCGTAGAAAAATTGTTCTGATGACTCCCGTGAGTCTTAGGTTAACTAATTTGTTATTCAAAGCTTTCTTCGTTTGAGGATGAAAGAGTGAACAGCTCCAGCTGAAAATCTTTTAAACCCGAAATTCACTTTGAGCTACAACGCATAAACCCTGTCGTGGCGTGTACTTTTCATCCTTCAATTTTGCAAAATTCCTCAGCAATTTCTAACTCATCTGTACATCAATTACAGGATTATTATTCTTGACTATTCGTATTGAAGGTTTATAGAATGGCCTCATGACCTGAGACAAATGAAGAATTTTCTTCTTTACATTCTTAACCGATGAATGGCTCATTTCATTCGTAGACTACGATCTGGATGCATTCAGGGACATCAAACCATTCCAAATACCCAAGTCCAAAGATTGCGAAAGGTACAGCGACTTACCAACCACTGGCTTCTTGAACTGGGCAGCATGCTCACAGCCACCTCGTTACACTGAGATGCCCCCTCCTCTCCAACGCATACAGACAAACAATGCGGAAGAGGTGGTCTTTTTTAACGTGCAGAAGTGCTACGAGAAAGTACAATGCCGAAAGAACAAGAAATCGAAACAGCGTGTCCAAGGGGCCACAATCAACTTGAGAGTCACGACCGAAACCCCAATCTCCAAAGTAGAAGTGTACGTAGAGAGGCTGCCTAAGGCTGCTGTTCTCTGTGGAGACAGCAACGGCAGAGTGCCACTCAAACTGAAGATGGAAAACCTCATGTATTCTGATGTAAGTATTTATTCTGTTGTATTAGTGAATACTCAGGTGTGTTATGTCATGGCTGACTATTGTGGTCATATTGGAATACATGTACACAATTTCAATTCCAACAAGCTGTATCAAGTAAGCAAGGTTGAGGGTTAAAACATGCCCTATTATTGTACATTGACCTTGTTTGATTGAACCTGGTAAACATATAAAGCCAGCCTTTAGCTTTCATTTTCACTGTTCAGTTGTAAAAATTATTAAATCAACAACCTGTGGGACATTACTAGTGCTTCTTGCTCTGTACCATTGAGTGATTAAGCTATAAGCTATTGCATTTATAATTAAGACAAGGAGCATATAGCCTTTTCTAATTTTGATTCTTACTCGTAAGTTTTTCGCGATCAAGCTCGCGGTCTCCTTAAGTAAAGTCTGGAGGAACCGTGGGCATAAAAATAAGGATTCTTTCCCCTCTCTTACTTCTTGGAAAAATTTATTGGGGCGCCTGTGTAAGTCTGTTGTTAAGTTTAACAATTAGTGTTGTGTAGTTTGGTTTACATGTACTTAGTTTAATGATCCTTTCTTCTTCTTTTTCTTCTGTGAAGAACTACCAAAGGCAAGATCAATACTTCTCTGTTGACCTGGACTCTGTGTACCACAATCCAATCACTGGCTCTCCAGTATACAAGCTATCCACAGTGGACTCGGAAAGACGCAACCGCTTTTGGTTGTTAGCTTACATTGTCTACGCTAACGGACGTAAAAGTCAACCATTTTACAGCGAAGCTTTTTTGCTTAAAAGTAAGAGAAGCTGTAAGGTCTCTCCTTACTAACACCCACATTAACCCTAACACCCACATTAATTCTGACTTCCATAAATAGCCGAAACAAGAAGGGTGGAACTCACAAAATTCAATTCAAAGTTTTTATCTGCTTCTTTATACATCTCTTTTTCTCCTTGTTGGTCCATAATTCCCCCTTTTTTTGTACCTGCCTCCTCCTTACCGAGTTTACACCTACTTTATGTTCTAAGATAGTCAAATAATCTTGTCATAAGTTCCTTTAAAGAAAACTGTACTTTGACAAAGATGGTGTATCAGTATGTTTAAATTTTTTTAAAAGAAGATAGATTAACTTTACACGGTGATGAAAAGTATACATGTAGACCGATACACTAATTTTTCTCTGTTCATCCCTTACTATTACGATTTTTTCAAATGTAAGTAACTATGTAAAAAGTTGTATATATATCGTAACAATTGTTTTTTCATCGACCTCTCTCCAACGAAAGCTACAAACTCAAACAATGAAGTGTTTAAATCCATTACACCTAAGTTAAGCTTCAGTGGAGTTGTGGCTTTTAAAATTTCTGATTTGCGTAAAAGAATGAAAAAGATGGTAAACTTTAAACTCGGTAAAAAGTAGAGAAAGGTGATTCTACGTCTTTTCACCGTTAGCGCAAGACAAAGAAAATGTTTTCACCAGGTCTAATTTAGAAAAAAAAAAGAACTGTTTGCAGTGATAAAATTAATCTAGATTGAACATTTCTTAGATTCCTGCGAGAATACCGTGCGTGTATATATTATTGTCATCTGTGCTACTGAATTACTGAGTTGTTAAAACCTCCTTGGGTACTTTGTTATCACATTGACGAGGGTGTTTTCAGAAACAAGACTGAAAGACTAGCACACTGTAAGTGTCACACAATGTCATTAAAAGATGTTTTAATGATTTGAGATAAGAATAGTTGAATTGTAACAATTTAAAAGGCTAAACTAGTAGTATTTCATAAATAAAGTTAGTAACACAGAAATATTTGAAAAATAAAACAAATACTATAACAATTTTATTGTGGACTATGTGTAAACAAATTCAGATTTTTGTACGTGCATGTCTCGCTTAAATAGAAGAATCAGCGTGAACACATTAACAACACCGATCACGACGTGCTAGTGTTGTAGTTTATTTGGCGCGGAGTTCATACTTTTCAGTATGTGTCCACCAGTACCTTCATGAGTACATGCTGATAACCTGTGGTTCCCTTGTTTGCTGATTTCCAAACAGTGTTAGCTTGTGCGTGATTCTCTTTACGATCCAACTGCCTTCTCCCTTGTTATCCGTTAGACCAATGTCTCTCCTATTTTTTTCCAGGGCTTTCCCTTTTAATTGTGTCTCGTACGTTCATTACCATGATTTGAATCATGTCACTCGTTGTTTTCCTGCTCTCCCTGATTATGAAAAGTCGTACATTTCGATGCACAAATCTAGCGGGTTTCCTAGGCGTTCCCCTCTCTCGAAGACTCCTCTCTACTTTCCCAGTTTTTCTCTCTCCGTTTTTCCTGAGTTTTTTTTTTTTTCAGTGTATTCCATTATTCTGGTAAATTCATTTTAATAGAGCCCCAGACGCTCACAATCATGTTTCTCGTTCTCTTTCCGCTCTTCCTAATCAAATTTATCATAAAGGCGTACATTTTAATGCCCATTCTCAGCAGTTTTCTCGGGAGTTACCCACTCCTTCTCTCAGACACCTCTCTGCTTTCCCAGTTTTTTCCTCCTCCTTGTTAACTGAGTCTATCATTTATCCTTGCAGTTATTCCAGTCCAGTGAATTCCCTTTATTGTGCCTTGAAAGTTCATGATTACGATTTGAGTCTCGTTCTCTTTCCGCCCTCCTTGGCCATACTTAGCGTCGCCCGCTCCCTCTCTTAAAGGCTCCTCTGTGTTTTTCCAATCCCCCCCCTCCCCCCCTTCAGGCTGCCTGAGTTTCTTTCTTCTTTATTTCCTCTTTTTCTTAGTGCATTCGATTACAGCAGATTCCCTTTAATCGCACCGTTGATGTTCACCAGCCCCTGGTCAAGTCATGTGCCTCCTGTCTTTCCGCCCTCTCTGGCCAGTTGAAGTTGTACTTTTCAACGCACGGTCTTTGCGGTTTTCCAGGGTGATGCCTACTATACTCCCTCTCTCGAAGACTCCTCCGTGTTTCCCAATTTTTCCCTCCTTTGTGTTGCCTGTGGGTTTTTTTCAGTGCATTTCATTCACTTCTGCTTTTTCGGGTGTTCACTCTTTTGTGCGTCGATTTATTTCGATTCGCCATCATGAATTACCTTGCCACTTCTAATTTTTTTACTACCCGTTTTATAAGTTGCCTTTATTTCTGTGGCGAGGCATGAGACATTTCAAAGTAGTTGAGTTCTGCGGGGAGCAGTTTGTTAATCATTTGTGGCCGCTAATTCAAAGCATTTGTAGAGACCGGGATATTCTTCACTGAAGTGTAAATCGAACAACATGGTGCTGTTGTGGCATGTGATCATGACGTCATCTGACCGAAGAGTAATGAAATTCTAAGAATGGTAAATAACAGACGTGAGTGAAGTTCATGTAAAAATTGAGCTATCCGAAAAAGCAACCAGCCAACCGTTCACTTGAAAAAGTGGATCTGCATTGGATAAAAGGACTGCTTTGGTATCTGCCCCTGTTCCATTTACGAGGTCGGAAGGTCCACGTTCTTGTGTTCACATCTATGTCACGTGTGGGAATTATCCTGAGAATTATAGAGACAAAGGAGCAAGGAGAATCCTTAGCTAGCCTATGAGATTGGCGAATTTCTTCCCTGACTGTTGGTACGTCACTGCTGGAAAAACAATTTCAAGGAATAGAAAACTCCAGCAGATAAGTGTATTTATAGTAAGAATGGGCTAATTCCACACGGATTGCTGATGTACGTAGGTGCTCCCTGGTTAAATGAAGAAAGTTTTTGGATTTATTTTAGCTTTAGGAAATCATGCCAAGCATTTAACAGGGGAAAGAATTGTCTACAGAAAGGTGCACACTCCTGTTTACAGTATTTCCTTGAACAAGCGCCCACGCACGAGGGTAATTTTCCTCCAAACTTCTAAAATATTCTAGCAGGAGCCGCGGCCGGTGGTGAACCGGGCACGATTCCCGCCACCTAGGGTCTGCGGCCAGGTTACTAAGTTGATTTCAAAATGGCGGTGCTTTAAGGTCGAAGTTAACGCCAATTTAATTTGGAGAAAATTTCCGAACAGTTGAGCTACTCTTTACAACCTCAAGACGCGGTAAGAAGTAAATGTTTTTAATTGCCCTTTGAAGAGCATAATTCTCCATAGACCCGTCGTTTTAGTTCCATTTTATCGTTTTATGTCGAAGTTATGTTGGGATAATGAATAATTCTGTTAAGTCTGTTAATGAATATTTCTACAATTGATATTTTCAACCACTTTTCGACCAACACAACCCTTGGCATGAATATTTTGCATCCTCTCTTTGCTTATCTTAAATATTCAGCCCATGTTTCAAATGGTCAGTCAGTAAATCCAGCAGCTGCTCTGGAAAGCGATTATCTCCCCCCTTACCCCCCTTC